AATTCAGCAACACAACCTCGAAAAAATGCACTATAGCCTGAAAATTAAATTTTTAAGCTGTTTGTCTAATTCATCTTTCCAAGTTCACACCAATTCGTGACAAATTACCAAAAAAACAATCAAATTCAACCTTAAAGCAATCAAATCCATCATAAAACTTCCTCAAAATCACGTTTCCACAAAAAGCTTCTATTAAAGCCCACAAACAAGAAAGTCTGAAGTACCTCAAAGCTAAGCAAAGAAATAAAAAAGTCATCACGAACATGCCTGAGAACTTTTTTTTCATCTCTATTTTTAAACCTGCACGCAGTCGAGTTTTTTTTTTTTGTATTTTTAGGATCAAATGAATATTTTTCTCTCATCTCACTTCACACCTGCATGAGCAATTCTTTCGTCTACAAGACTCACTTATACTCATTGGGACTCAATGAAGCATGTAACTTATCCACTCAATCGAGTGTTAAAGTTATTCGAAGTAATTTGGCTTTTTTTATTGATTTTTATTGACTTTCTTGTATGAGAACGAAGTGTGTTTTTCTGGTTTTGTGGGAAAAGTTGTCCTGTGAGGCAGCATAAAAGTGTTCATACTTATGAATGATGGTGTTATGAGGAAGTTTGAGGTTATGTGTGATCATTTTGGAGGCGCTTGGAGATAAATTTGCCGAATTGTTATCAAGAATTATGAAATTTGTGAGACTTAATATTTGTGCGCCATTTTTTGAAGACAGTAAACTGTTTTTCTGAATATGCCACACGGCAAATTGTTAAAATAGATTTTTGAGAGGATCTAAATTTTCCTAAAATTTTCCAGCATTTTCTTTCGTATTTTTAAATTTTTTGAGATTTTAGATTCGTGCGATATTTTAGGAAGACAGTAAACTGTTTCTCTGAATATGACGCCCACACCACCTTAATTTTTGTAACAACACCGCACACTCTCTTTTCGATGAGTTATTGGGCTGCTCTGCTCCTTCGTCGTATTTATGGATGAAAAACGAGCAATAAATTTTGTAGTTTTATTCATTTTTTGAGGTCTTTGGTTCAACGAAATTGATAAATTTGTGAGAATTTTATTTTTTTATAGTTTTTCATTTGAGAATGTAAAGAAGTTGTTTTGAAATGGTCGATTTGGGGATCATAAATTTAAATTTTCTTCGTTTTCTAATTTATGTTCTGAGAAATGTTTTTTTGGATCGAGTTAATGGATTTTTATGGGATTCGTTTGGGGAAATAATTTGGATATTGTTTCCCGTCAATTCGTTAATTTGAGTTATTGAGGAGAAAATGAAGCAAAACCCAAACTAAGAGTCTGCTATTGCTGATATTTTAGAAAAGTTAAAGACATAATCCAATTCCAACTAAAAAGAGAGCTTAAAAGGAAATAAATAAAATCGATGGACATGACATATACCTTAACAATTCTTTGACATTGTCTCTGATCTTCTTTGACCTCCCATTCCCCACAACATCCTCTCTAATTCCCTAAATTCTACTTCAAATCTCATTCCTCATCCATATTCTGTCTCTTTATATGCATACAATTGCTAATGGAAAATAATCTGTTTGCTTTTTGTATGGATGACTGCTGAACCTTGAAGGATGCTTTTCTCTCGTTAGCAAATTGAATAAAATTCGAGTCTGAAGGGGAGGAGGGGGGAAAGATGAAAATCAATTGAATCACAAAAAGCATAGAAAATAAATAAATAAAATAAATCTTTCAATATTGATCTTAAGGATATCGAGAATTAAAGACTCAACTCAGAAATTGGAATAATAAAAAGAAACACAAGCAAAAGATGTTGAAGATTGCAAAAAAAATAAGGTCAGGAAGTTTTTCTTTTGTGAATCTCTTGATTTTATTTTTTCGTTGTGTCTCCGTTGTTGACTTTGGGAGTTTAAGGTCGTTTGAGTTGAAAATTTATTGGTAAGGGACCAATTTGGTGTGAGGCAAAGTTATTCATCGGGCGATTTAGATTTAAGAGATAAAGGCAATACTTTAATGGTTGGCTTTGCTGTATTTTTCATTGTTTTTGCTGAAAAATTGAGATGATTAAAACAAATTGGGTTGTTTTTAAACATAACATCAAAATTCAGCAACATAACCTCAAAATTGAGCAACCTAACCTTGAAATTCAGCAACTTAACCTAAAAATTAAGCAACATAACCTCAAAACTAAGCAAACTAACCTCAAAAATAAGCAATATAACCTCAAAATTGAGCAACCTAATCTCAAAAATAAGCAACATAACCTCAAAATTCAGCAACTTAACCTCAAAATTTGGCAAAATAACCTCGAAATTCAGCAACATAACCTAAAAATTAAGCAACATAACCTCAAAACTAAGCAAACTAACCTCAAAAATAAGCAACATAACCTCAAGATTCAACAATAAAACCTCAAAATTCAGCAACTTAACCTCAAAATTCAGCAACATGACCTAAAAATTAAGCAACTTAACCTCAATATTGAGTGACCTAACCTCAAAATTCAGCAACATAACCTCAAGATTCAACAATACAACCTCAAAATTCAGCAACTTGACCTCAAAATTCAGCAATTTAACCTCAAAATTCAGCAAATTTCTCATTAAGTTCCTTAAAATCTACAGATTTTTCTTTAGCTTCCCATTTTCTGCAAATACTTACATCCAATTATTGACTACAGCTCAGAAGCTCTTTAATAGACGAGCAAACTTTCCCTTTCTTTGAATATTAGTTCTGCTCTATTTAAGAAGGTCAAAAAGGGAGAAGCAAAGCCTTTAGACACGGGTCAGAAGTTGAAGAAAATCTTTATCTAAGTTTTTGCGACTGCTTTGCTGTTTTTTCATCTTTTTTAAGGGGGTGGAGGATAGTTTTCGATGATTTAGTGAGAATTAAAGATTTTGAACGTAAAAGTCAACATCAAGGAAGGTTAAGACTCAGCTTTAATTCACAAAAACTCCTCCAAATCCTCCCAAAAGCCACCTCACACACCGCCATTCACAGACGCGAAGCACAAAATTCTTAACTAATTCCCAAAGGAAATATTTGCTTATGTTAATTTATTTCTCACCCTATTAGCACATTCACATGTCTTCTTACTCACATCAACACGAAAATTTATTTAATATTCACTAATCTTCGACTGTCTTTAAGCATTTGCCTTTCATCTTTCGCTCAACAATTTTCTCTCAAATTCTGAATTCATCACACGCGTATAAATTTAAATCAATTTTCGAATGTTGGAAGTAATTTTGATATTGGGAAGCGCTTAAATGAGACGATTGACTGTGTTGAATAAATTTTTCAAGGTTGAAATATGAAGACACAAGTTGGGAAGGTATTGGAGTTGAGGGAATAGAGCGCATTTTTGGAACTTTAAGGTTATGTTGTCAATTTTTTTCGGTTTGGTTACAAACTTTTAGTATTTGTATACTAATTGTAGATTATATGGTTCAAATTGTTGATTTTGAGGTTATTTTCTAAATTTTGAGGTTATGATTCAAGTTTTTAAGGTTATGTCTCTTAATTTGAAGGTTTTTATGTCCAATTTTGCATTTTATAAAGAAAATTTTCGTTATGTTGTCTAATTTTAAGGTTAGGTTGTCAAATTTTAGGGTATGTTCTGAATTTTGAGGTTAGGATGCAGAAATTTTAGATTATGTTCAACAATCTACCCAAAATGCTAAATTCTTCTTCGAACTTAACCTACAGAAATTCCAGTACAAAAAATGAAAATTTAACATTAATTTTTGAGTACTTTGAAGTGCTTGAGGTGCTTGAATTATTGAATTATTAAGGAATATACGTGAATATGGAAATGAGCAAGGTGAATGGCTTAGACTGTGTGAAAAAGGCGATGAAAGGAAATATTTTAAATTTATAATGCGGGTAATTTATTTATTGATTTTTATAACTTGAGCTTCTTCAGCAATTTGAGACTTGTTGGATGATATTGCTGCTGTTGCTTGAGATAATTGACTTTTTGAAGAGGTTGATGGGGAATTGAATGACTTGTTTGTTTTGATTCTGGTAATATTTGTTGACAAATGCTTAATTCTGTGGCTTTTGTGCTGCATTTTGAGGTTTTTGATTTTGAAGCTGAAGTTTAAAAATAATTTTTTAAAATAAATTACATAAAAAAATTCTTCACAAAATGACAAATTTCGCAACAAAACAAAAGAAAAATCTTCTCAAAAAAATTTTAAAAAATTATATTAAAAAATATTCAATTTAGTGCATTTAAATAATAACAAAGAAAAAGTTAAACCACAAATGAAAAAATCAGGAAAAATGTTAAAAAATTGAAAATTAAAAGTTTATAAAATGTGAACGAACCCAACTCAAAGGAATCATCGATGACAATAATAGGAATATATTCAACACATACTTAATAATAATTTATTGAACTGACACGAGAGAGAATTTTACTACAAGAACTTGAAAATTATTTTAAAAAAATAATCAAAAAGATGGAAAAAATGGAAAAATTCCTAAAATAAAAAACTTTATGAGAAATTTACAAAAATTGCAAAATTTTATTGGAATTTAATCAAAATTGCACTTTTTCAACTCATTGATCAACATTTAAACAATTTTTGGAAAACATTGACATTTTTTACGAAATTTATAACAAAAACGCAAAAAAAAATCTTCAGAAAGTTGAGAAAATAATTTAAAAAAGTCTTGAAACCGTTAAAAATCATCAAACTAATTTTAAAAGCTTTCAAAATACTCAAAACGTAAAGAAAGCTTCATAAAAGCTCAACAAAAGCTCTTCAAATATCCCAAAAAACTTTGAAAGCTCTTTCAAAATTACAAAAGCTCTTTTAAGATTCAAAAAGCTTCAAAAAAGCTTTAAAAAGTTTTAAAAAGCTTCAAAAAGTTTCAAAAACTTCTAAAAGCTTCAAAAAATTTCAAAAAGCTTCAAAAAATTTCAAAAAGCTTTCAACAAACTTCAAAAAGCTCTAAAAAGCTTCAGATTTCACAAAAGGCTAAAAAAAGCTTCAAAAGCATCAAAAAGGCTTCCAAAAAATTTTCAAGATTGTCGAAATCTTAAGAAGCATCTATAAACTTCAAAAACCTTCAAAAACTTATCAAAGGATCTCAAAAAGCTACAAAAACAACCCCCAAGTTGTAAATGTCAAGAAAATCAACTTAAATTTCAAACCCCACCAATTTTTAATCACCAACACGTGAATGGCTCAAATTCTCACAATAAAATTAAGCTATGGCATTGAATGGCTCATCTGTTGGCTCCTCTTCATGCATCATCATCGATGCAGTGAATTTCCCGACCGAGAATGCTGCGATCCAGTCTTTCCATTCGACATAACAGATCCAGAGCCATTGCCACCGGCACTACCCACAACGACAATATCATCATCATCATCAGCACATCAAACTTTAGCTGCTAATAATATTTTACAACATACGGGTGGTCAGGCACTGCCTGGACGATCTGGTAAGTAAATATTTCTAGTTGATGTCAATTCCCATTGCGGAAGTTCAGTCAAAGAAGAAAATGTGAAATTAATTAAATCAGAAAAGTTTTTCGGACAGAAAATAAGTTTTGATCTTGTCTCGAGTGACACTGCGGCCGATATGGTCGAGTCAATATTTCATGCCACAAATTCAATTTTGATTTTCTTTTTACTTCCTTATTCCTGTGTGAAATTGAGTTCCGTCTCACATTTCATGATGTTATGAGGACCTTTATTGAACTCCCAAATGACTTGAGATGATTGAAACTTTCGTTTATTATTGTTGACTATTCTTTTTTTGTGGTAGATAGTTGATTTTAGTTGGTAGGTTTGCATCTTTGAAGGATAAGTTCGCATCTTTGAAGCCAAAGTTTGCATCTTTGAAGCAAAAATTTGCATCTTTGAAGAAATTGTTTGCATCTTTAAAGCATAAGATCGCATCTCTGAATAAATTGTTTGCATCTTTGAAGCAAAATTTGCATCTTTGAAGCAAAAGTTCGCATCTTTCAAGTAAGAAATTCTTAGTTGATGCGAAAATATCCTTAACCCCATTTAAATCATTTCAATAAAACCACAAAAAAATCTCAACCAATTTACCCAAACACAACAATAATTTAACATTCCGAGCGTTTAAATAAACCACATGGCATTATTAAGCCATGACAAATGTTCACAATCCAATGCTACAACGATGTGAAAATAAGCAAAACGCTGATGGAAATTGTCAAGGGAAATTTTCGAGTAAAAGAAAGAAATTTATGAAGAAAAATGGTCGTGTAAGGCTGGAGGAAGACGAAGAAGCTCGTGACAAAAATCTGAATTTATGTCATGGACCGGGAAAATAAGAGAAAATTTTTACAGGAAGTGACAATGAAAATTTCATCCTGAAATGGGAAAATTGTTTTGAAATATTTATGAAGGATTTTCTCTAGTGGGGTTGGGGTGGGAGTGGGGGTGTAAGTAATTTGAGCTGGATATTCGTAGGAATTGAAATGGAGAAAACTTTTAGGTTCTTGATTAATTGATTGACATTTGTAGCGACTAATTTATCAGACTCAAAATTTACGGATCAATAATTTGTGCGTCATATTTTGGGTAGACTTTAATGTGTCCCCCAAATATGTCAACAAATTTTCAATAAAAGTATATGCATAATTTTGATATTTATCTACCTCATTTAAATCAACTCTATATCCACAACCACAACTCTCACCCTCTTGCTAATTGAAAATAAAGTCTAACTTTTCCTTAACATTTATTTATCTTCGTATCGATTTCGGAGTTGATGAGCAATCTTTTTGAGGATTTCTTACTCGGAAAAAAGTATATTCGACCTAAATCTCTCATGAGGATCTATTGCAAAATCAATTTGAGTGTATTTCAATAACTTTTTTCGGTAGAAAAAAATAGATAAAGAGGAAATATAAAACAAACTTTGTGGCTTAAATTGATTCTTAGATTTTGGAAGCATAGGAAAGTTAAGAAGGGACTGTGTAATAGAGTATTTAAAGCTGGGGATGTTTCGGATGTTATTTTAAAAAAGATGTCTCATCCCATACCCCATCCCATACCCTATCCCATCCCATACCCTATCCCATCCCATACCCTATCCCATCCCATACCCTATCCCATCCCATACCCTATCCCATCCCATACCCTATCCCATCCCATACCCTATCCCATCCCATACCCTATCCCATCCCATACCCTATCCCATCCCATACCCTATCCCATCCCATACCCTATCCCATCCCATACCCTATCCCATACCCTATCCCATACCCTATCCCATACCCTATCCCATACCCTATCCCATACCCTATCCCATACCCTATCCCATACCCTATCCCATACCCTATCCCATACCCTATCCCATACCCTATCCCATACCCTATCCCATACCCTATCCCATATCCTATCCCCTTTTCACCAAATTGACTTATTTTAAAGCTGATTTCAATATTAAAAATTACATCGAGCCTTAAAAATCTCTCAAAACATCAACAAAGCTTTTCAACTTCTCAGAAAATCCTAAGCATGAAAATCAATTTTATCAGTCCTATGTTATTTGTACATTCACATAACACATAACGGCATCCTGGGACATTATTTCACTTTCGGCTTCCTTTTCAAATTTGAAAAATTGATTTAATTTAAATTGTCTCCATGAGAATTGCCTGTATAGACATGACAATATGAAAAATGGATTGTTGAGTAAAGTAATTTTGGGAATTGGATTTGATGTCTATTGATTCTTTTAAAGTTGACATGTTGTGTGCTTGAATTTTCGGAAAAAATTGAATATTCCGGGAGAGACATTAATGTTTTCCCAAAATATGGCGCACGTTTTGAATTTTTTGGATGTCTGTATTTCTGGCTGCTTGATTCTAGTCCAATCCTCAACAAATAACCTCAAAATTACCCAGAACTAATTCACAAAAATCACACAATCAGTCTAGACGCACCTAAACATGAAAAATAAAATAAAAAGAAAATCACACAATAAACCAAAGTCAACAACAAGAGCAATAACAATAAGCCACAAATAAACGAGAGTCAGGAATTTCCTTTTTTTTATTCTTTTCTTCACACCAGAAGCTAGCACAAAAAGTGGCAAAAATACGGATTGTTGTGGATAAAGTGAAAGCAATAATCATAAAATTAATGAGAACATTAGGAGATAGAGCTGGTAAAAAAAATGAATTGGAAGGTTTCACGATTCAAGTGAATTGCCGTAAAAGGGGGGAGATGAACAAAAGTTTATTCTATTATGGTTTAATTTGATGAGCTTTTTTGTGTGGGCATCTTTGGGGATTTTTATGTCTTGTTTTACAGAAATTGGATTGGAAATGAATCGTAAAGGGGTATGCGAGACTAAGAGGCGCATTTTATGAAGTTTTGAGGTTAAGTTGATCTATTTTTAGGTTATATTGCCATATTTTGAGGTTATGTTTGTAAAATTTGAGGTTACTTTGCTGAATTTTGAGGTTTTGTTGCTGAATTTTGAGGTTGTGTTGCTGAATTTTGAGGTTTGTTCCTAAATTTTGAGGTTATGTTGCTGAATTTTGAGGTTTGTTCCCAAATTTTGAGGTTATGTTGCTGAATTTTTTGGTTATGTTCACAAATTTTGAGGCTTAGTTGCTGAATTTTGAGGCTTTGTTGCTGAATTTTGAGGTTGCGTAGCTGAATTTTGAGGTTTGTTCCCAAATTTTGAGGTTATGTTGCTTAATTTTAAGGTTATGTTGCTGAATTTTTTGGTTATGTTCACAAATTTTGAGGCTTAGTTGCTGAATTTTGAGGTTATATTGCTGAATTTTGAGGTTGTGTTGCTGAATTTTGAGGTTACATTGCTGAATTTTGAGGTTCTGTTGCTGAATTTTGAGGTTCGTTCCCAAATTTTGAGGTTATGTTGCTGAATTTTGAGGTTATGCTACTAAATCTTTAGAAATTATACCGCTTATCTTCTATCAAAGAAGTACAAATGCAGACAAAACATTCAAAATTAAACCTGATTTCTCAGAAAAAATAGAAAACACATCCAACGGCTATTTTCAATCCAATTCATAGCTTCATTGAGTTATTTTCGAGAAATTTATATTTATCATGTGAAAATTGAGTCATTTTCGTGGAAAAGTTTAAACGATTGAAATAAAAATTTTGAGGTTATGTCTTTAGGGGTTTAGTTTATTTAGTGATAATGAGATTTTGATGAGTTAACTTTGATGTGCTTTATTTTTATAAGCTTACCAAATTGAAATTCTTATTCACATACTCCAACCCAGTAGTTCAACATTCCCTCACATCACAGCTCCAAAATTGCCAATTAGGATTTTTCTTCTCCAACTTTCCCTCGCCTTTCGTCTTTATTTACACCTTCGTCAACACGATTTGAGACACTGAAAATATTTTTCTTACTTTTTTCCACTCGAAATTATTCTCCTGCCTTGAAGGTTGATCGTTGAATTAAACTAGAACAGCAAATATTTACATTAAATTTAGACGAAACCTTTTTTTTTTATCTCAGCGTTAGTACGGTGTTGCAGACAACATCTTGTGGCTTCTTTTAATGATTTTTACTTTGAGCTCTTCTTTAAATTGCTTTTGTGTCATTATTTTTGGAGTAAATGTTTAAGGAAGTTGGAGTAAGAATGTTAGTAAAGAGATTTGCATTAGTTTTGAGGTTATGTTGCTGAATTTTAAGGCTATGTTGCTGAACTTTTAGGTTACGTTGCTGAATTTTAAGGTTAAATTGCTGAACTTTTAGGTTATGTTGCTGAATTTTAAGGTTAAATATATTCACAAAAATTGAAAATTTGTGTGAATATGATTGCTGAATTTTGAGGTTATGTTCCCAAATTTTGAGGTTAAGTAGCTGAATTTTGAAGTTATGTTGCTGAATTTTGAGCTTAAATCGTTAAGTTTTAAAGTTGATAACCTTATAATCCTGCAACATAACCTAAAAATGATGAAAAAATCGATCATTCGCCAACAACATCATAACAAACTCACATCCAACAACAAAATCGTCACTTAATCACTTCCGTAAATCCAAGCAAAGCTTCCATTATACAGCTTTAATAATTTCATTATCGTCGTTGATATCTCCGAACCATTATAACGAGAATGATGCTTATTTAAATGGATAAAAAATATTCAACACCATGAATTTGTCATAAATAATTTTTTTCGGAGCTGCGGAAGAAGACAGTCGAAGCTTATTTAAATATAGAATGGAAGATGAAGTGAAGAAGTCGATGAGAAAGAAGCTTTAAGAATCTTCAAGTGATTTTGGTCAAAGAGATGGATTTAAATTGTTATAGACTTTTGAGGTTATGTTGCATTTTTGAGGTTATTTTCAAAAACTTTAGGGTTAAGTTTTCAAATTTTAAGCTTATGATGATAATTTTGAGATTGTGGGACAAATTTTTGAGACTTCACTGCCAATTTTGAGGTTACGGACCGGAAATTTTAGGTTATGATA